CCAGCTGTGCTTGCAGCTGAAGCAATCCATGCTGTGCATTGCTGCTGGCTCAGCTGTGATTGCAAGCTATGAGGATTCGTTTTTTGCGGTGTTTCGGGCCCTTCTGCGGCAAACGATTTCATCTTGGCGATGTTGAAAAACCTTGGTTTCTACGTGGTTTTGGGCTCCAGGAGGGGGCCCGGGGCGGAAAAATTGGCATCTTAAGATCGTTTCAGCATAGATGGCCCAAACATGGCCCCAACATAGCTCCGAAAACTGCTCAACATGGCCCAACATAGGCCAACATACGCCAACATAGGCCCAACATGGGCCCAAGCTGGGCCCAACATGACCCAACATAGGCCCAACCTGGGCCAATATAGGCCCAAGATTGGCCCAGAACCTGCGCTCAACATAGGCACAGGCTGCTTCCATACAGGCAAGCACTGCGCATTATGCCTGCCTCAGTTCAACATAGCCATCCCTGGGTTTGCACGGATCTCGGCCCAATCTTCCCACACCATAAGCCGAAAGTCGTTGCTTGGGCGGCGCCCGGCTGTCAGGCGTAAGCCTTTAAATCCGGACGCCGGCCACGGGCCAGCGCGTGTCCTTGCCGGAGGCCTTCGGTGGTAACGCGCTGCCGGCCCTGCCGCCGACCCCGGGCCTCCCGAACCACCTGTAATTTACGGTGTATTTTGCTTGTGGTGTTAAAAAAACATCGTTTTTTGCGGTGCTTCGAGCCCTTCGGCGGCAAGGAATTTCATCTTGGCGATGTTGAAAAACATCGGTTTTTTACGTGGTGTTAGGCTCCAGGAGGTGGCCCGGGGCAGAAAAATTGGCATCTTAAGATCGTGTCAGCATAGATGGCCCAAACATGGCCCCAACATAGCTCCGAAAACTGAACATAGGCCCAACATAGGGCCAACATGGTGCCAAGATTTTGCTTGGCCGGCGCCCGGCTGTCAGGCGTAAGCCTTTAAATTCGGCCCAGAGCGACTAGAGCTCTATGGTGAGGCGCACCCCAAGCCGCCGACCTGCCATTTTGACACATTTTTCGGACGATTTTTAATTTTCGAAACTAACAAAATGCTATATATTACAGCAGATTGGTGTTTAATGTCTTTTGCGGGAACCATGCAAAAACGAATAGAATGCTGTAAATACCAATACTTTTTAGATTAGAGATGCACAAAACACTGCGAATACCCGTGTTTTTGAAAACAAAGCACAAAAAAAAAAGTGTAAATTACAGCATTTTTTGCAGGTTGATCGCAAAAAATGCTAGGATTTACACAGATTTTGGAACGTCAAGAAAACGTGGAAGGCTCGAAACACTGTACATAGCTGTGTTTTGGCCACTTTTGGGCGCTGAAACGCTTGTGTTTAAGCTGTTTTTGGCCCGTGACAGTACCAAACCCTTGTAAATTATACCATTTTTTGCACTCTTTGAACCGATTTTTGCCTTGATGAATGCAAAAAACACTGGTATTTGCGCATTTTTCAAAAAATGGAAGATGGTGACGTGAGCGAACCCTGTAAATCACAGTGTTTTATCCACTTTCGGGGACAAAAACTGTGGTATTTACGCGGGTTCTTGCCACCTGACAACGCAAAACGCTGTAAATTACAGCACTTTGTGTGCTGTTTATGTTCAATTTTTACACGAGAGATGTTTTCACATGTTCTTGGCATTCTTCAACCAGAAACGACGTTACGGATTGAAACTAGACGACAGCGTGGCCCGAAAGGAAGCTGGAGGGAGAAGAAAATATGATGATGAATGCTGCTGGTGAAGAGCTTTTACACAGACGCGTTTACACACAGAAGCTTTTATGTACAGAAGCTTTTACATAGAGAAGTCTTTATACAGACTGGCTTTTACACGCAGAAACTTTTACACAGAGAGAAATCTTTACACAGAGGGGCTTGTACGCACGGACGCTTTTACACACAGAAATCTCTACACTAAGGAGATTTTGCACACAAACGCGTTTACACAGAGGAGCTTTTACACACAGAAGCTTTTACACAGAGAAGTCTTTACACAGAGAGCTTTTACACACGGAAGCTTTCACACACAGAAGTTTTTACACAGAGAAGTCTTTACACAGAGAAGCTTTTACACGCAGAAGCTTTTTCACACAGAAGTCTTTACACAGATAAGCCTCTGAGAAGCCTTTGCACAAAGGTGCTTTTACACAAAAGGATGTTTACACACAGAAGGTGTTACACACAGACGCTGTTTCATTCACGTGTTCTTGACATTCTTCAACAAGAAACGACGCTGCAGATTGAAACTAGACGACAGTGTTGCCCAAAAGAAAGCTGGAGGGAGGAGACGAGAAGATTGCACACAAGAAAATATGATGATGAATGCTGCTGGTGAGTAGCTTTTACACAGACGCGTTTGCACACAGGAGCTTTTACGCACAGAAGCTTTTACACACGCAGGGGCTTTTACACAGAGAAGTTTAGAGACACCACCAAGATACCACTGAGACACCACCGACGAAACCGACGAGACACCCGAGACACCACAACCAAGACACCACCACCGAGACACCACCGAGACACCACTGAGACACCACCGAGACACCACCGAGACACCACCGAGACACCACCGAGACACCACCGAGACACCACCGAGATACCACCAACATACCACCGAGACACCACCGAGACACCAACCACGACACCATCAAGACACGAGACCCCTACCAGTCCACCACCGAGACACCACCAAGCCACCAAGACACCGCCCAGGCCGACAGCTGTGAACCCGACGGCGCCCGACCGCCTTGGGGAAAAACAGCAAGAAACCAGCCAAAAAACAGCAAAAAACTAGCAAGAAAGCAGCAAGAGACCAGCAAGAGACCAGCAAGCGACCAGCAAGAGATCAGCAACAGACCAGCAAGAGATCAGCAAGAAACCAGCAAGAAACCAGCAAGACACCAGCAAGAGACCAGCAAGAGACCAGCAAGAGACTAGCAAGAGACCAGCAAGAAACCAGCAAGACACCAGCAAGAGACCAGCAAGAGACCAGCAAGAGACCAGCAAAAGACCGCAAGAGACCAGCAAGAGACCAGCAACAGACCAGCAAGAGACCAGCAACAGACCAGCAAGAGACCAGCAAGAAAACCAGCAAGAGACCAGCAAGAAACCAGAAAGAGACCAGCAAGAGACCAGCAAGAGACCAGCAAGAGACCAGCAACGAGACCAGCAATGAGACCAGCTTTAAACCAGCAAGAGACCAGCAAGACACCAGCAAGAGACCAGCAAGAGACCAGCAAGAAACCAGCAAAGGACCGGCAAGAGACCAGCAAGAGACCAGCAAGAGACCAGCAAGAAACCAGCAAGAGACCAGCAAGAGACCAGCAAGAGACCACCAAGAGACCAGCAAGAGACCAGCAAGAGACCAGCAAGAGACCAGCAAGACACCAGCAAGAGACCAGCAAGAGACAAGCAAGACACCAGCAAGAGACCAGCAAGAGACCAGCAAGAGACCAGCAAGAGACCAGCGAGACACCAGCAAGAAACCAGCAAAACCCACAAAAGCCACAGAAACAGCGAAAACCGCGAGAATTGGAAAACGGCGAAGACGAGGAGACTAACACTACGTACTACTGTTTGCCAATTTTTCAAGCATTTTCTGCTTCTCCTTATTTCTCTGCGTTCTCTGTATCTCAGTTTTTCCGGTTTTCTTGTTTCCTCGGTTTTCTGGTTTTCCCATTTCTATGCATCTCACCGTTCTGGCCACGACGCAAATTTCTTTTTTTGCTTAGAAGACAACTGCGCCATTGATCATTTCTTCTTTGGCTTTGGCTTCCCTTGGCCGACTTCTAAGATTCGGAGCAGGCCTCAGCTTCTTTGGCTGCTTCACGGTCCAACCGAAGTTTTTCCTGCAGAATAGCCTGGCAGGGGAAGGAGCCCATCGACCACGGCACCAACGAAAACAACAAGATCCACAAGCTGCCAGGGCGCCCGGTCGATGTCTGCGAGCATGTCCATGAGCTCTCTGAAGGGAACATTGATCACTTGTAGAAGTTCGGCATAGGATGCCTCGAAGGACGTTGCAAATCGGATTGTAAAAAGCTTAGGATGAAAACTTGCAATAGCAAAGAGGCTGCTGAGGTTTAATGTTTCGTGGACTTGCCACCTTGAACTCTGGCCAATCAATGGTACCACTATCATCCTTGTCAATCTCTTCGAACCTGGGGCACATTCGATCAAGTCAAATGCATGCAAACGACAAAGAGTCACATACTCATATCAAACCCATCACATAGTTCGGAGCCCACTTTGAAGCCAACATACAGCTTTAGCATTTGTCCAACCAACAATGCACAATCTGCTGAGAAAGCAGCATCTTCTGGATGGACTGATCACTGTGATGCTCGAAGAACTCGGCCAGGAGCATCATGCTGTCTACCCATTCCTGCAAACTCAAGCAAAGCGCAGAGGAAACTTGACAGCATTTCAAAGTTGATGTGCCACAAAGCCTGTTGTCCCACTTCCATTTTTGCAGGAGTAGCCTTTCTCAGCCAACCCTCTCCAACCCTTTCTTTCCCTGTGTAGCATGCAGAATGTCTTGAGCTAAAGCAGTGTGGAAAGACAATCCAATGCTGTCTTTGGCCGGAAGACTCATTAAAAGATGCGCCGTCCGCATGCCATGATCTAGCTGCTGCTAGCTTTCTTATTCCAGCCGCTCAAAGCCCCTGTGTTGTCCCGTGTCTATTCAGAACTGTTTGCCAGCCCTGTGGAAGCCGCTCCTCGGGGTGAATGACACCATCCTGGTTCACATCGAAAAAGTTAAAGAGTCGCTGTAAACACTGCCTCGGGACTGGCCACAGCACATCACTAACATCGCTAGCCAAACAAGGAATAGCATGTCTATGATAGTCCGCAATTTATGCAAGCCCCATATTCATTTATAGATATATATATATATACATATATATATACATATATATATATATACATATATATATATACATATATATATACATATATATACATATATATATGTGTGTGTGTATGTTTGTATGTATACATATTTAAGAATTTTCAACATAACCTCTGTGCGCCCCAAAACGAAGGCAACCAAACCTCCCAATACGCAGAATACCAACTGGGCGCATTGGGGCTCTTCTGAGCGAGCGCACTCAACCAGCTGTGCTTTTCGGAGTTCATCGAGTTGTGCACCTGAGAATTGTCAGTTCAACCTATTGGAATGTCCCCCAGATAATGATCAGTTAATTTGGATCCCATCCCAATTACATGTGTATGTGTTTGTATACATATCTATGTATATATATATATATACACACGTGTATATATATTTATTTATTTATTTATTCATACGTACATATGTACATCCGTACATGCATACATACGTACATATGTACATACACACCTACGTACGTACATACGTACATACCATACCATACCATACCATACCATACCATCCCATGCCATGCCATGCCATACCATACCATTACATTACATTACATTACATTACATTTATAAATTACATTATATTACATTACACAAAATTACAATAGATTAGATTAGATTAGACTGGGTGAAATTAAATTGCATTAAATTAAACTAACTAAATTACATGCATACATTATTGCACCGCATCGCATCGCAGCACATCCCATCTCATTACATCACATGGAACGGGGGGGGTTGTCCAAAATTATGGTACCCGAGAACTGCCCTTACGCCGCGCTTTCGCGAACCTTTCGCGCCCTTTCGCGCCCCAGCAGAATCGGGACATGGGATTATGATCGGGTTTTCACCGCCCTTTCGCGGCCTTTCGCCACTGCAGCAAAACATACACATCCATATCTGCAGATGTCACTCGGATACCAAAAGCCTTGCATGGGTTTTAGGACGACTCCCGCAGTGACATGACATGACATCATATCACATCACATTACATTACATCAATCATCAATCCATCAATACATTAATACAACACAGCACCACACAAGACAGCACAACAGAGCACTACACACAACAATACAATGCAACACAATGCATAGACAGAGAAGGCAGTACAACCCCCTAAAATCATCAACCAACTACAGCTCTTGAAACTGCTCACATGCCAATCCCTTTGTATGCTACTCTTCTGCTCTGGAAGCTATTCTATCATTTGGCCGCCTGGCTCTGTCAAGCTATCTACACTCACGCTGCAGTCAATCGAGGCACGATACTTCCTCACAAGCTTATGAATCTGCTGGTTGGTGCTCAAAGCCTGATACGAATTTGCTCAAGGAGAGAGAACAGCGAGGCATATCGGCGAAATCCAGATAGAAAGGAGACTGAGAGCAGCAAAATTGCAGTTCGACCTCAGCAGATCGACGCTTGGTATCTTCAGCATCAACATCAACCACCTGAGCCAGAATACTCCGGAACAATGTGGGACACAGGGCCAGATTGACATCAAACTGTCAATCCAAACCAAAACCATCTGACCTGCTTGGCATTCTGCAAAAGAGCTGTCACCGCCTCACAGCCAAAGTCAGCCACCGGAGAAATAGACACAAACCGCCAGGGATAGTCTTTGAATCTTGAAAACGTTGTCATACTCCAACTAAGCTCGTTACGCATCTTCCTTGAGTTTTTGTAGCTCTTCCAAGTGCTTCTCATTTCAATTCATTCCACATTCATTTCACAGGATTTTTTCCTCAGTACAGTGATGACGGTGGCACCTCGACACTGTTTGCCTGGCATGCCAGGTGGAGTGGAGTCAGGTAGCTCAATGTACCTTGGTGTGGTCGACTCGATTCGGCTCGTCGACTCTTGTGTGACATGACTGTCCACAGCTAAGCCACGCAAGTTTGCATCCGCTTGGTTATCCAGAAGAATTCGAACACAACGAGGACCTGGGACTGCAAAGAATGAGAATGACAGTAATAATGATGCAAAATGATGGCAAACCATGATGCAAGCCATGAGGCATCCGGAGCCTTGAACTGGTCAAAGTCTTCGGTCGTTTCGCGTTTCACTAGCTCTAGCTGAGTGCAGGTCGGGAGCATTCGCAAGCGTAGTGCAAAGCACTTCGTCCCATTTGTGTTCTACCGTCTATTTCAGCCTATCACATGTGCACTCAAAGTCAAAGATGCAGTTGGTCAGCCAGCAAAATACCCTCCAAGAAGACTTCACTCCTGTGACTTTCCACAAAGGGGGCAAAAACCAAAGCCACAATCTAGGGCATGGCGGCATGACACCGAAGCAAGATAAAGCCTTCATCTTGATGCACCACCTTAGTTCTGTTCAAAACCATGATTCGGTCCATCGATCAGCCAGCCATCATATGCCCCTGAGAAAGGCACTCTAGTATCGCTCCTTGCCCTTCACTTGAAGCACCTCGTTGTATCAATATGCTACCACTGAGCATTGCAGCCTGAAATGTCAGATGGCCTACAAAATAACCTGAGAAGGGGGGAACAAAGCCAGCATCCCAAATTTTCCCCCAATGATTTTTCACCCAAAAACTTTTCCCCCATATTTTTTTCACCCAGAAACTCTTCATGCACATACTTTTCACCCATTTACTTTTCACCCAGAGACTCTTCACCCACAAACTCTTCTTGCACATACTTTTCACCCATTTACTTTTCACCCAGAGACTCTTCACCCACAAACTCTTCTTGCACATACTTTTCACCCATATACTTTTCACCCAGAGACCCTTCACCCAGAAACTCTTCTGGCACACACTTTTCACCCATATACTTTTCACCCAGAGACTCTTCACCCACAAACTCTGCTTGCACATACTTTTCACCCATATACTTTTCACCCAGAGACTCTTCACCCAGAAACTCTTCTTGCACATACTTTTCACCCATATACTTTTTAGCCAGAGACTCTTCACCCAGAAACTCTTCTTGCACATACTTTTCACCAATATCCCTTTCACCCAGAGACTCTTCACCCAAAAACTCTTATTACACATACTTTTCACCCATATACTTTTCACCCAGAGACTCTCAACCGCAACTCTCTTGCACATACTTTCACACATATAATTTCACCCAGAGACTTCACCCAGAAACTCTTCTTGCACATACGTCACCCACAACTTTCACCCAGAGGATCTTCCACCAGAAACTCTTCTTGACATAATTTTTCCACACAGGAAAACTCTTCTTGCACATACTTTTCACCCAGGGACTTTCACCCAGAAACTATTCTTGCAAACAAACTTTCACCCAGAGACTCTCCCCCAGCAGAAACTCTCTCTTTGCACAACTTTTCACACAGGACTCTTCCCCAGAGCCTTCACCCACAGAACTTGTCACACCATATTACTTTTCACCCAGAGACTCTTCCCCCAGAAACCCTTCTTGCACACACTTTTCACCCAGAGGCTCTTCACCCAGAAACTCTTCTTGCACATACTTTTCACCCATATATATATATACTTTTCACCCAGAGGCTCTTTATCCAGAAACTCTTCTTGCACATACTTTTCACCCATATACTTTTCACGCAGAGACTCTTCACCCAGAAACTCTTCTTGCACTTTCTTTTCGCCCAGAGACTCTTCACCCAGAAACTCTTCACCCAGAAACCCTTCTTGCACATACTTTTCACCCAGAGACTCTTCACCCAGAAACTCTTCTTGCACATACGTTTCACCCACAAACTCTTCTTACACATACTTTTCACCCGTATACTTTTCACCCAGAGACTCTTCACCCAAAAACTCTTCTTGCACATACGTTTCACCCATTTACTCTTCACCCAGAAACTCTTCTTGCGCATACTTTTCACCCATATACTTTTCACCCAGGGACTCTTCACCCACAAACTCTTCTTGCACATACTTTTTCACCCAGAGGCTCTTCATCCAGAAACTCTTCCTGCACATACTTTTCACCCATTTACTTTTCACCCAGAGACTCTTCACTGAGAAATTCTTCTTGCACAGACTTTTCACCCAGAGACTCTTCACCCACAAACTCTTCTTGCACATACTTTTCACCCATATACTTTTCACCCAGACACTCTGCACCCAGAAACCCTTCTTGCACATATTTTTCACCCATTTACTTTTCACCCAGACACTCTGCACCCAGAAAGTCTTTTTGCACACACGTTTCACCCATTTACTTTTCACCCAGACGCTCTTCACCCAGAAACTCTTCTTGCACATACTTTTCACCAATATACTTTTCACACATAAACTCTTCACCCAGAGACTCTACACCCAGAAACTCTTCTTGCACAGACTTTTCACGCAGAGACTCTTCACCCAGAAACTCTTCTTGCACATACTTTGAACCCATATATTTTCACCCAGGGGCTCTTCACACAGAAACCCTTCTTGCCCATACTTTTCACTTATATATATACTTTTCACCCAGGGACTCTTCACCCAGAAACTCTTCTTGCACTTTTCACCCACATACTCTTCACCCAGAGGCTCTTCACTGAGAAACTCTTCTTGCACAGACTTTTCACCCAGAGACTCTTCACCCAGAAACTCTTCTTGCACATACTTTTCACCCATATACTTTTCACCCAGAGACTCTTCACCCAGAAACTCTTCTTGCACATCAGTTCACCCATACACTTTTCACCCAGAGACAGAGATTCTTCACCCAGAAACTCTCCTTGCACAGACTTTTCACCCAGAGACTCTTCTTGCACATACTTTTCACCCATATACTTTTCACCCAGAGACTCTTCACCCAGAAACTCTTCTTGCACATACGTTTCACCCATATACTGTTCACCCACAGATGGATCAAACATATACTTCTCACCCACATACTTTCCACCCATATACTTTTCACCCAGGGACTCTTCACCCAGAAACTCTTCTTGCACATACTTTTCACCCAGAGACTCTTCACCCAGAAACTCTTCTTCCACATACTGTTCACCCAGAGACTCTTCACCCAGAAACCCTTCTTTGACATACTTTTCACCCATATACTTTGCACCCAGAGACTCTTCACCCAGAAACTCTTCTTGCATATACTTTTCACCCATATACTTTTCACCCAGAGACTCTTGACCCAGAAACTCTTCTTGCACAGACTTTTCACCCAGAAACTCTTCACCCAGAAACTCTTCTTGCACAGACTTTTCACCCAGAGACTCTTCACCCAGAAACTCTTCTTGCACATACTTTTCACCCATATACTTTTCAGCCGGACTTTTCACCCTATCATATACTTTTCGCCTGGAGGCTCTTCACCCAGAAACTCTTCTTGCACAGACTTTACACCCAGAGACTCTTCACACAGAAACTCTTCTTGCACATACTTTTCACCCATATACTTTTCACCCACAGACGGATCAAACATATACTTCTCACTCACAGACTTTTCACCCATATACTTTTCACCCGGAGACTCTTCACCCAGAAACTCTTCTTGCACAGACTTTTTACCCAGAAACTCTGCACCCAGAAACTCTTCTTGCACATACTGTTCACCCAGAGACTCTTCACCCAGAAACTCTTCTTGCACATACTTTTCACCCAGAGACTCTTGACCCAGAAACTCTTCTTCCACATACTTTTCACCCATATACTTTTCACCCAGAGGCTCTTCACCCACAAACTCTTCTTGCACATACTTTTCACCCATATACTTTTCACCCAGAGGCTCGTCACCCAGAAACTCTTCTTGCACATACTTTTCACCCAGGAACTCTTCTTGCACATACTTTTCACCCAGGGACTCTTCACCCAGAAACTCTTCTTGCACATACTTTTCACCCAGAGACTCTTCCCCCAGAAACCCTTCTTGCACACACTTTTCACCCAGAGGCTCTTCACCCAGAAACTCTTCTTGCACATACTTTTCACCCATATATATATATACTTTTCACCCAGAGGCTCTTTATCCAGAAACTCTTCTTGCACATACTTTTCACCCATATACTTTTCACGCAGAGACTCTTCACCCAGAAACTCTTCTTGCACAGACTTTTTACCCAGAAACTCTGCACCCAGAAACTCTTCTTGCACATACTTTTCACCCACATACTTTTCACCCAGAGACTCTTCACCCAGAAACTCTTCTTGCACATACTTTTCACCCATATGCTTTTCACCCACAGACTCTCCACACAGAAACTCGTCTTGCACAGACTTTTCACCCAGAGACTCTTCACCAAGAAACTCTTCTGGCACATACTTTTCACCCAGAGACTCTTGACCCAGAAACTCTTCTTCCACATACTTTTCACCCATATAATTTTCACCCAGAGACTCTTCACCCAGAAACTCTTCTTGCACAGACTTTTAACCCAGAGACTCTTCACCCAGAAACTCTTTTTGCACATAATTTTTCACCCATATACTTTTCACCCAGAGACTCTTCACCCAGAAACTTTTCTTGCACATACTTTTCGCCAATTCACTTTTCACCCACAGACAGATCAACCATATACTTCTCACCCACAGACTTTTCACCCAGAGACTCTTCACCCAGATTTTTTTTGCACAGACTTTTCACCCACAGACTTTGCACTCTCAGATTTTTCACCCAAGAAAACCGGACCTAGGGGGAATCGATACCCACCGTCACTGTTTTGCCGCATGGTACATTACCCTGAAAACCATATTTTTCACGCCTAAAACACCACCTATTTACAACGTTTTCGGCACTTTGGGGCAACTAACCCCCCCCCAGACCCCCTATTCTCACTTCAGTCGCAAATAACAACTAGCCAGCTTCCCGGCGGGTTTTCGTAAAAACAGAACTGTATTGAGAGCTCAGTTGCGTTCATGAGTCTTGGCTCAGGCACGATGCAGGCTGGTTATTCCACTTCCTGCTTCTTTGATGTTCGGCTGAAGGCCATCAATTCTCATCAACCTGGGCCACGTCGAAATCATCGGCTGAACCCGCTGCACCAACTGAGGGCCATCGACGTCTGAGGCCGCAGCCTCATGACTTCACTCCAGTCAATCTGGCAATGAATCCCCAAGGCGGAGATTGAAACGTGGCTACACTGCTGATGGATGCTTGGATGGATGGATGGATGGATGGATGGACGGATGAATGGATGGATGGATGGAACACTATCTCTCTCTCTCTCTATCTATCTGTCTGTCTGTCTGTCTGTCTGTCTATCTATCTATCTATCCATCTATCTATCTATTTGTCTGTCTGTCTGTCTGTCTGTCTGCCTGTCTGCCTGTCTGTCTGTCTACTCTATCTACTCTATCTACTCTATCTACTCTATCTACTCTATCTACTCTATCTACTCTATCTACTCTATCTACTCTATCTACTCTATCTACTCTATCTACCCTATCTACCCATCTACCTATCTGCCTATCTACCCCTCTACCTATCTACCTATTCACCAACCTACCTACTTGTCTACCTGTCTACCTGTCTACCTGTCTATCTGTGTATCTGTGTGTCTGTCTATCTGTCTGTCTGTCTATCTGTCTATCTGCCTTTCTATCTATCTCTCTACCTGTCTATCTATGTATCTTGCGTAAGTGTATCTATTGATCTTCTGTATCTTTCTATCTTCTGTATTTATCTACATTCTGTATCTATCTATCTCATGTATCTATCTATCTTCTGTATCTATCTGTGAGACGCGTTGACGCCTGCGGCGGTCGAGGTTACCTGTATTAGGCATCGTGCATGTCATGTACACTCTACATCTGGATGCATTTACACATGTAATTCTGGCGCCATGATACCTGAATTCTATTCTTCGTCTAGTCCGGCTCTCAGGCGTTCTTCTTCCTGCGCAGCTTCCTTGGGCCGCTGTTTCTCCTCGGTCTTTTGTTTACACTACTTTTTCTTGGCCATCTACGTGGCCTGTGACTCTGCGTGGGCTTCAATGCTCCATTTGGAATCTTTCATAGCTTTTGGCAGGTCATTCGAGTTCATATCCTTTGTCAGTGCGTCTACCAGCATGATGGATGTGTCTATCCAACGGATTTCATCTGGCAATCCGTCTCTGGGCTCATCTAGTTCTTCATTGTCTTCGTCAAACCACAACTGTCTGAGACCTATCGACAGCCTCTTACCATCCACCTTTCCTAGGCTGTTGCCCCTAAGATGGTCCCCAAGGGATTTGCAGTCCGTTAACTATAAGTGTCTCAGGGGTGATCTTGTTTTCTGTTCCCAGCTGTCCAATGATTCTAGGCTACCGTGTATGTCTGTTAAGATAGCTCTCATTCTCAGTCCTTCCTCAACGACGGATCTCATTGCAAATGTTTCTGCTTGGAGCGTATTCCTGCACACTCTTCGGAAGATTGTTGATTGACAACTAATCACATGGAAGTTTGTCTCTTCCCTTTCCCAGGCGTCTGGATTTGCCAATAACGGTCATACGTGCTCTTTGACTTCTGTGTTTCTGTGGCTTTCCCTTGGGATACTCTGTCTCATTGCTCCAAGATGCGTCGGATATTGTGACAAGTATCATGTTCTTCCAGTCGACTGCATCTGACCTGTATACCATCCCATGACTGGCATGTTGCTTTGCCTCTTGCACTGCATCATTCGCATATATCGGATCTCTGATCGTCGCACTGTTGCATCGTGACTGCAACTTTGACACTTCGTAAGACAAATCTGGTCTTGCCTGCCTTGCCACCCAGGCAAGTCACCGACGACGCTTCTGAGCTGTGAATCTCTCTCCTTCCGTGACAGGAGATTCTTTCTTCCACCTGCGTGGTATGATATCTTCTCAAGTCTTTCTGTCGTGCCCTTGCGTGTCACAACATAGAGAAATCTTCACGCTGCTTGATCTCTCTGCCACAAAATCTGATTGCGCCTGATGATATTTTGGAACGTTCCACTTGAAATGCTTCCTGGAGATTCTTCATGATGTGTTCGTATGAAGGCATGCATACGTAGATGAGATCGTCTACGTTTGAAGCCAACATGATCTTCGGCTCTCCATTCTCACAAACGTAGACCAACGCAGGACTGATCTTGCAGGCGCTCAATCCTGTGTGCTTTGCTTATGATTTCAATCGTTTGCAGAAAAGTCTGCCGCTATCCTTGCCTCCATAGATAGGGCAATTTCCTACATACATCCTGTCTCGCGCCAGGGATTCCTGCTGGCTGCTTGAGTATGATCAGGCGATCCAACTTTTCTCCATGGAAGTATGCATTGGTGATATTCATGCTGGACGACCAGCTGATCACCAAATTAACCGCTTCCAAATCTGCCGCCGGACTGTCTGTCCTGATTCCTTGCGCAGTTTCCTGACCACCTCTTTCGACGAGTCTACTCTTGAACAGTATTTCATGCTTTTCTCCATTTCGCTTGCGGTGCAGATTCTTGTCCGTGCCTATCCATTGAATATCAATCGGCGTGTGACCCTCTTGTAGGAGTTGACGGAGTTCTTTATCCTCGATCGGTCGAACTGCCACAAATCGCATCCATTTTTGCCATTCTTCCAAACGCGATTTGTTGATACCTTCTTTGATCCAGTCTGCCTCCTTGAATTAGTTGAACTGCTTTCCTGTAGCTTCTCTCTCGTCACGCTTTGATACATCTGCCAATCTTTCTGCCAGAAATGAAATTGCTTGTTGTCTTGATTGTTTATGTTCTGTGATCCCCTCAATCAGAATGAACACAGTCTTCCCGATCGATTCTGTTTTGAAATTCTTTGTCCTGCCCGTCTTCCCAGGAATCTTGGATTGTCTGCGTGCTGCCATCCTTACCGGTGAGGCTCGTAACCCTCACTCCGCTCAATCTTTCTTTCGGGATTGGACAGTCACCTGTTGATTCCGGATTGAGCAGTGCTGTCGGCGTGTCGTGAATGCGAACCACCACACCTGTCTCTTCGTGTACCTGCCAACCGCCTGCAAAATGAGTCCTATTCCAAACATCTTCGGCGGGTTCTACTCCAGGTCCTGTAGTTCCACTTCTTTGAAACATTTCTCTCAATGGACTGGGCTCGTTGCTCGCCCGTGATTCTGAAGGTGCGGAATCCACCACAGGCACGTGCTCCTGAGGTTCTCGTGATGAAAAACTTCTGCGAAATGACATGGGAACATCTGCTTGGTCGTTCTCCTGTTCTTGTCTGGATCTCCTCCTTGATGGAGGTACTACTTCCATATCTGGCTCATCTACTGTCACATCTGTTTGAACCCTTGCTCGTCTTTGGTACGATGGCTTGTCCTCAAGTTGCGGCGTATCATCGTCTGACATGTCTTCAAGTTCTTGAGGAGGTTCTTCCTCTTCTTCTGTGATTGGATTGAGTGGCTGGCTCTGTTGCATCAATGAATCCTGTTCCTCTGCCTGGCATATCAAGGCTTCTGCCGCGTTGACTGGTCTCAGGCGATCCAATGCTACGCAAGCTGGCATCCCTTGAAGGATAACCCATACTAGCTTTGGTCCTTCGAAACCTATGATGCGGCCTGCTGACGTCGATCCGGACCTGATCCGTTTTGAAACAAACTAAGTCTCGTACGCTGCTATCTTTGAGGATTGGGGATGCCTTCCTCAAAAGTGCTCTGACAACTCTTTCGGAAAGATCTTCCTCGATGAACGGCTCTCCGCGCAGATTCGCGGATTGACATCTGTTTCCCAAACTCATGGCTCTCATCCTGGGCATTAATCTGGAATGCTCCAAGATCCATGTCATCACTTGTCATACTTGTAGTTTCCCGTGGGGGTTTTCCAAATACTCACTGCATCGGGGTGAAGCCTCTCACCCTGCTCTGTGAATTCTTCGTACACAAGCCTCCCAGAATCGCTGAATGATCCCTTTCAAGATAGCGCCATGTCCCTCAGTTCTCCACAATTCTTCTGGTGATTCCACTTCTATGGTTCCAAATTGTACACCTCGTGCCACCAGGCCTTGTGCGAAACCACCTCTGTTATGCAAGCCTCTGTCACTAATGACTTTCTGGCAATCCCATGTGCTGCGCCCATTTGTCATTGAACATCTGGAAACACAGTTTGGAACTCACCTGCCCGCCTTTCGTGCTGACAATGACTGCTTGGTGGTATAGCGTACCCAAGAACAGAAAACTCAACACGCTGTATCTCTTGCCATTTCTGTCTTTGATCTCGTGGTTCTTCGGCTGTGGTGCCTGGTAATGGGAGCTGTCCCAACATCTCTTTTTCTTCATCAAATGCCTTTTCCAATTTCTTGACATCTGATGCTACAGCTGGTACGTCTCCCGACTCGTCCTCGTCGGGGAAATCAATGGTCCCTGCTTCTTCTCTCTGCTTCGTGACTTTCTGCAGGATAAGCTTGCTGCATCATGGACTTGTCCGAAACGGACTGCGAAACTTGATTGAACACCTCGTTGACGGTGTGATCCTTGGATATGTCCTTGGCCGTTTTCGGCGCATTGAACTTGTCCTGATGCCCATTGGCATATCGGGTGAAACGTTGCCAACTGCTTACTCCAGATACTGATGTCCCCAGGTCCGTCCCACCTGGTCAAATCCGTGATTTGAAGTGCATCTGATTGAAAATTGAACTAAGGGGTGATGAAGCATGAATGCCCCGTCGTCTCATTCGTTGTGAGACACATCTCCTCAAATCTTTGTCGACCCTTCTCGTTGGCTTGGTGATCGACCACTCCAATCAGGTTGATGCGCTCCTTCACAATCTTGACCTGCAACTTCGCCATGCTCTGGCTGTCCTTGACCTTGAAGACCGTTCCATGGAAGTTTGGTCCTTTGGCTGGCCGGGTGAAATTAACTCCATTCACACGTCCAAAAGTGCAACAACTAACAAACATGTTGGCATGAATGAAACCTTTGTTTTCGGCATGTTCATGGTCACATCACGAACTGAGTCCATTGGTTTCTTTTCATACAAGTCAACCGGCTTCCCAACATCAGCAGCTGTGAGCACCATATACCTAGTTCTGTGCTGCGCTCTGGCCGATGCTCAGAGTGCATCCTTTCCCTGCTGGAAATTGGGCGACACTGGAAAACATGCTGGTTGCATGCTTTCTGGCGGGACCAGAAACACCATAACGTAGTCCATCTTCTCGTCTTGAAAGTCTGTTTCATAGTCCGATGGCTTCATGGATTCAATCTCAACCTAGTCTCCGTCGCCCTTCTCCACCAGCCATGGTGCTACATTGATGCAAATATGGCGCGGGGCAATCTAGCACGAGAATGGCAAGCTGCACAACATGATCTTCTCAATCTTCGATCTGAAGTTTTGATTGAGTGTGCGAGTGCCTCTGCAACTCTGTCAAAATCAAGTGGTTGAATGTGGAGTCATGATCATCAGCTTCTCGTTGTGTGAAAAGTTTGCATGGTCCAACAGTAGCTCTCCTCTCAATTGTTCGCTCAACTGGACTGTCTTGTCCAGATTTCGAAGCATGTCATACCATCTCCTCCTGCGTGAGATGTAGCTGATCGTGGATTCACCGCTGATCCTGGTCTCTGTCCGGCCTTGAAAAGTTCTCTGGCCTCTGCACCCCCCAACGGGAAGATGTGTTCTCTGAGCGCCTTGGCTAGGAACAATACACCTTCCTTCTTGTTCAGCTCTGTGAGTCCTGGAAAAATGGCAACCTTCAGGGGCTCACCGGTG